CCAAACACATTTTGGTTCATGTGCATGCAGCATCTGAACAGTGACGAACATTTACACACTTATTTGACTGTTCCGAGTCCACAATAAATTAAAAAAATGCAGATATAAATGTGCAGATGTTTGTCTAAGAGTTTAAACATGTCCACACATACAGAAAGACTAAACAGGAAAAAAACTAGACTGAGCAGAGAATCATTATGTGCGAGTCCTTACTATTAATTATTTAGGCAAATACAAACTCCAAACCGTCAAAAGTCAGTACAGAGCTCTAAAATCTGACTGACAGTTGATCCAACTGTGATTTCTCTAACAACAGAGCCTCTTTTCCTCTGTGCTAATCTTTTTCCTGCATTTTTAGCAGATGAGATGCAAAGAAGAGATGCCAGTGAGGAAAAAGTGGAGGCAACTAAGGGACCTGACAAGGCTGGGTAATTTCTTTATTAGAAACTAGACACATTAGCCTGGACAGTCTCAATTCTCCAAAAGTATTAAAATGTCATCTTGTTTTTTTTCTGCTCTTTAAATACATTTTTTTGATGACAAAATGATTTATTTGGAGCTAGAGTACGAGATCCTAGTTCAAGTGTCCGTGGCCGATTGACAGCCCGTAGGCTGAAACCTTTACCAGCACATACATGGATTAACCAAGATCCCTGCACAAGTAAAATATTTCCACAGTGGGACACTATTGCTTCAGTGTCTCTATAAAAAAAAAAATGAAACAATCCCAATAAACCTAATTAGAACTCAATATTTCAGAGGGCCCTCATGGCCAGAGAGTCTTGACTCAGCGTAATAGTTCAGCTGTAAAGGGAAAACCACCTGGCAAAGGCTGCCTAAAAATGAGCTAGTAACAAATATATATCTATATGATTGACTGTTTGTGACTTATTGTCCAAAGCCTGTGCATTAGGTGAGAAATAATACCTAAAGCGTGGGACAAAGCTACAGCCTATCTAAAAGCTACAAAAAAAAAAAAGAACCAACCCCACATAAAGGTAGTTTCTACCAACTGTCACGAATGTTTTCATGTTTGACAGTCAGGAAGGAGCATACCGTACATATTATGACTGAGTAAACACAACACTGAACCACTGCAGTTCTGGAGGTATACGACCCCGCTAACCCTGTGAGAATGCCAAAGTCACGTTTTTTTTTGTACCAAGGCAAACATGGATATGAGCCAGCAGTGTGGACTCCTTCTATGCAGTGATATTTGTGCTGAAATCAAGAGGTGTTTAGAACCTTAATAAACAAAGCTAAATGCAGGTGCAGCTGTTTCTTAACAATATGTATCCCTTGATGACACAAGTCATTAGGTCAGCAAATCCAGCAAATATCAAACATTTTAAAAACATATTTAAGGGAACAACTGGCAGCAACAGGATTGAAGTCTTTACATATCAGACACTATATGATTTTTTCCAGAATGGAACAAAACTGGCCCAACTAATCCAGACTTGAACAGTCCCAGTCCTACTGATCCCAACTGGACACCAAGGTCATACTCATCAGTGCACATACAGTGCTAATGTGGGTCCCTGCCTCAATGTACACCCCCCACCTCTTACGATTATTCTTTGTCTTACGTCAGCTTTGTAGATAATCATGCTCTAGGTTTTCAAACAATAGTTTCCCTTAACTCAATGACTTGAGTCATCAGTCAAGAAGACCCCAAGTCAACTCATTCTGAGTTACTGTATCAAACTGTATGGCTGTAGTATCTTTCAAAAGAACTGTCACTGGAGCACAGATGACACTCCTCTTGCAGTATCTCTTCATGCAGATAGTATAGCTTGATTTGTCCAAGGTTTGGGGACGTCTGCCTCCACCACAACACAGTGGAAAGGGCTGAAATTTAACACTGAATAATTACATGTTTACACAATGCAGCTAAGACCTTAAGCACTGTTTCATCAGGGGAAAGTAGTTCTGATAAAAACTATCAGTCAAGTAACTGGGATATAGTTTTGGATGATGTTGTGGAGAAGTTTTTTTTAATGCAGTTTTTCAAGGCCACAAATGAAATTCCTTTTGCATTCACTGTAGTTTAATGCCTCTACACCAACGATAGGCACGGTCAGAGGAATTATATTTTTTAGTTGTCATAGGTTTTAAGTATGAGCTTTAAGCATGGCTAAGGTTGTTGGCAATGTTAACCTATTTTTCATGTGCTGCATTTTATTATGCCTATGTGTCAGAGACAGCAATGGCCGGCGGCACTGTGTTTTCAGGTTGCCCATCCACCTGACAGTGAGTGTATGGTGCTTCACTATGTAGCTAGAGGTATGGTGCATCTTATAGGTTACATTTTATACTGCGATCTAGTTTTTGTGGCATTAGACCTTTTGTAATGCAATGTTAATGATTCTAGCTGCTCATACCACACACACCAGTTTAGAGACTACATCAGATCATCTGTTATTATGACAGTCATACATTACAAACTAATAAGTGGACCTTGAGTGGGGACAGTATATTTATAGATAGTATTTCCAACATATACAATGACATTTCACACTCAGCAGGAACATTCCTCTGAAATGGAGCTTTTGTGCTGTACATGTTTTTAGTACCACTAGGAGCCTAATGAAAGCTGTGACCCCAAAACAGTTAAGCTAAAACAAATATCTTAGCACACTGATGAAGCACTGAAGAGCTGTTCCTCTTTCTGAGAGCTATCCACTCGAGCAAACTCCACCAATGACCCTCTAACTGCATGGGGGATCCCACGCACCTCAGACACCCTGTATTCACCACCATCCCCCTCAGGCAGGCTCAGAACCACGTGCACCAACAGGCTGAGGAACAGCGCCCCCTCCCCGCAAATTATGGACAAGCTGCTGAATCCAAACCCCACAAAACAGCTACCTGAACTTCAAGTGCAATATACAACTGCTGCAAGTACAGCAACTGTCAATGTTTATGGCATTTTATCTGGACCAGGCTGGACTATGACTATATTTAAGAATTTTTATGTTGCTATATGAAGTGGAATGCTGCTGAACTAGGTTTCACTGAGTCTTGTTATGCAATGACAATAAAATATCTTGCGTTATTTTAACCCATGCTGTCAAGCCACAGGTTTAGGCTTACTGTACAGCATAGCAATACAGGAATCCCTGAATTCATCTTTCATTCAGTAAATGGTAAAGGATACATTTCCTCAAAGTAGTCTATGTGTGGAGGTTGTAGTATGTCCAGAGCAGAGAGCACCTGCGGAGAGAGTTAAAGCCACAGCAATTTCCAGGTTCAGACCAGGTATCTCTATCAGGATGTCTGATCACAGAGAATTTGGTACCAAAATGTCTCCATATATCAGAAAGTTGGAAACATGGTGCATCTTAAGTGAAAGGGAGTAATTTTGGAGTCTCAAAGGACTGCCATGACATGCAAGGAAGTGTCTGGATTTTGGCTGAATGTGGCCAAACTGCACAGGTGTCTTTTACACCTGGCTCAGAATCCAGACCTCTTCATACCACTGCAGGTGGAAAGGGTGTCTACAAATGTCTTTGTAGCATTGCTGTGTACTTACATTTTCATGTTTGAAGAAACACAGCATCTTCAGCTCCCGAAATACCCTCTTACAAGATACAAGGTTTTGGAAGACGTTGGGCATCTTTTTGAGGGCAACTCGCTTTCCATCTCTGGGGTCTGTCACTGACCTGGGTGAAGAGGACAAATATATAATCATTCAGTGATTCGGTGGCTCTTGCATGGAGTTAGCACTTTCACATGGTATATGTTTGGTTGATATATTATTGAAACAATTGTTGAATGATTCAGAGACAGATGAAGCAAAAATATGGTTCACATTAAGACAGCAGCCAGATGGCCACTGAATGTGTCAAGATGCTCGTGGTCCCCACAGGCAGATTGCTAATCATCTTCCTAAACCTCTGACCATTTCCTTTGCACCTACTAGGCCAATCTTATTTAAACACCTTGGTTTACAACAAGGTAATATGAAAAGTAATGGCTGAAATTCCATGACATATGGTGTGGATATTCACAATCCCCAGAGGATGATTTATGATGTCTTGGATACCCTGCTGACCTTTTAATAGTAATCTGCCAAAAAGGTTATATGTGGTGTGTAAGCATGTTTGTTTAGCCAAGAACTGAATGAGGGAAAAGTCTGACAAATTGATTAAGTGAAGGGTCAGAAGAGAAATAATACACCATTATCCTTGTTATCGCCTTGTTTGTTGGTTGGGCACCTTTCTTAGTGATAAGGTAAAGAATGTTTAAGTGTTTGAATGCAGAAATGAAAGCCATGTGAGGAACACAGCAGGTGTAAGTAAGAGCATTTCAGGCCTCTAAGCGCAACCTTCAGTGAACCTTTTCAAATAGGATCAGTCAAAGCAGACAGATGGCAGTGGACTAAGGGCCCAGCTTTCACTGTGCTCCAAACACCACCAAACAGGATCACTGCCTCAAACCACAGGACGTTAAATGAGTGCACAGCAGCTACAGCGCTGTAGAATGATCTTTTCTATATTGTCTGTTAATGCTAACTCAGCACTTTGTCCATGTTCTTCAGCCGTCTTGATAAATTCAACATACAGTAATTCATAGTTCTAAAGCACCAATTCCCTTAGTACAACAACAAACTCCTGTCAAAGACGCCACTCTGCTCCTCAAAGACTCCACTAATACTGTTTTCATGCACCTTTCACCTTTCCATCTAAACAGCGTGGATATATACATTTATATTTATTAGTATTTTTATTTTCCATATACACATTTATTTTTCTTGTTTGCACATTCTGTCTTATCTTGTTTACTTCTTTACTCATTGCCCTACAGAAGAGCATTGTACATGCATACTGAGAGCCACTGTACCAGAGTAAACATCCTCATGTGTTCGACACACCTGGCCCATAAAACTGATTCCGATTTCATCCTTTTTGCTGTTTTTTTGGATTGCTGTTAAGCTACTGTCAATTTACTGCACGTTTCACACCCTAGGCATTTAGATGGTTCCAAAAGGTACAGGTTCTTCCTTTCGTGGAAGACTTAGTGTGAAATTTCTACAGAAAAATACTGAGCTTCAGTGCTCAATGATTTAAAAAAAAGTGATGGACCCTTAAGGATTACTTGGAGTGGAGATTATCCACTCAGAATCATGACAAAGAGCACCTATAAACATTTTCAGATGTGGTAAGGGGAGCATGTTATTAGTCCAATTAGCCATCCATTAAGAATCTCTCTCCTGATCCCATTTAGATCTGTGGACATCATTTGTTGATTACAGAGACAGAATAACCACAACGGAGAAAAGAAAAAAAAAAAAAAATCAAACCTTGATTATGAGATCTGAGCACCACAATACACCAGAACATACACTGTTTATTGATTTAATTATTTCCCTGACCTAGTCAAGGCCAGATGGTACTACCTGTAAATTGTACTGCGGAGCTCAGCAATGGGTGACTTTCTACCTAATATAAAAATAGCAGTGATGCATGGGTGTTCCTTCTACATTTTACTGTTACAGATGTTGAAGTGCACATTTAATATCTTGCTGCATCATTAACTCCCACTCTCTTTGACTGCTTAAAGTTTCTGAGTGGACCTGTGTACTGACATTTGGGTTACTGATACTCCGTGTTGAGCACAAACACTCTTTGCACAAACTCTTCTGTTTGGGCAAACTGAGTAACCAGGAAAGAAAGGCCTTGGTCGGGTGACCAGGAACCCAGCAGTCCCTTTAACAGAGCTTCAGATGTCCTCTGCATAGATGGGAGAACCTGCTGGGAAGGACGACCATCTCAGCAGCTCTCCATCAATCAGGCCTGTATGGTAGAGTGGCAGGACAGAAGACACTGTGAGTCAAAGACTGATGGAGCTGCTTGGACTTTGTCAAACAGCATTTAAAAGACTCTGAGAGAACAAGGAAAAAGGTTCTCTGGTCTCAGGAGACAAACATTTAAGTCTTTGGGCACAACTCCAAACACTATGTCTGGTGAACACCACGCTCTGCTAATCACCTGCTAATACCACCCCTACGGTGAAGCGTGGTGGTGGCAGTGTCATGCTATGGGGGCTGCTCAGCAGCTGAGACAGGTCAGAACTGAGGGAAGGATGAATGCAGCCAAACACAGAGAGGTCCATGAAGAAACCCTGTTCCAGAGTGCAGAGACCTGAGACTGAGGCAACAGTTCATTGTTCAGCACGATGAAGACCTGAAGCACACAGGCAGGACGACACTGGAGTGGTTTCAGGACAAGTCTGACTGTCCTTGAGGGCCCAGCCAAAGCCCAGATTTCCCTATTCTGAAGACGGTCCTACAGCTCCATCTTGGTTCAGTTCATTAGGGTTTATGAATCATTTCCTTGGCACCAACTTGGCTTGGGAGAGCCTACGAGGAGCTAATACCACACACATAACATCTCCAGAAATGCAAAAACTAGTCCGCCCCAACAAGATGACCATTCTGTGATGGGTTATTTGCATTTAACTGACACAGCAATAATGGGAAGAATCATAAAAATCACTGATCTTGAGTCATGTCATATTTTGTCACACGTAATTTTACATAAAAACATGAACACAATGTGAGTTTATTTTCGGTTTTCTGTAACTTTAATGTCGTTTTTATGCCTCTTTCTTCCATTTGTATTTGCTGTTGTAAATGTGGGTTTTGTTCTCTCAGGTAGCAGAGGAAGCCATCTTTTGGTTTATACAACACATCCATTTTCTCTACAATGAACAACCTATTGCACATGGAAGGATGTGGTATAAATAACAGCCCAACAGTATAAAAATCTGGTACACGCAGAGATAATTATTTCAGGTTCATTTCTCAACTAACCACTTTCAAAGTCATTAAAAATGTCCTTGGGCAAGACACTGAACCCCCCAAGTTGTCCGTTATGGCGGCGCGTACGCACGCAGCGGCCCAGGGCCCTTGGCTCCAGACAAAATTTCGTTGTACATGTCACAATGACAATAAAATAAAGCTTCTTCTTCTATTTTGCTAAATTGAATGAAAGATGGGTTGAAATGGCTCTATAACAGCACTCAGACTCAACTCTAAGTGGGTCTACTCTGAGGGGTGAAGGGGGTGGCAGCATGACTCTCTGTGACGAGAGTCACATGAATGACTTCTACAGCAGGTGTGGACCACTCATGAATGTTATACCAAAAAAAAAAAAACTCAAAGAAAAGAAATTGTGAATGTGATGTGTGAAATACCCATAATTCACTCACACATATCTGTTAGTATGACGTCTCTGTGCATGAGGCCCAGCGGTTGGAGTTTCCTTGTATTTTTGCAATAACTTCCTTGCCCATACGTTGGAAAGAAGAAGTGCAACAAACTACCATTGGTATTATCTTTTACACATTTTTTGACAAAGCCTGAGAATGAAATGTTGGTCAGCATTCAGTTTCAACAGCAATGTAAGGGAATAAATTATTCTTATTTTTTGTGTGTGTAATGAAATGTCCGTGCAAATTTTCAGTCATCTAGGTGGTAGTATGCTTGAAAAATGTAGAAGATATCATCTGGGCATAGTTTTAAAACTACATCCAGATGATTTCGTCTACATTTTTTCAGCATGTGTAATGAAATCATTACCCGCCTAGTGTCTGATAGAATGTGACATACTAAAATGCTTTTGAGTAAATTCTGCATTATGAAAGTATGCCTGTATATTAAAGGATAAGGCTGGTGTCTATAGTTTTCTGATCTCCATCCAAAAGTGTGTAAATTCTTCCCTCAACACTTGGACTTCCCTCCTCTGTCTGTGGCTCTCAGCTCAAAGCTCACTGGTTCCTTGTGAAGATGTTTAAAAACACCTCATGAATATACCGTTTCACTTTTTAGTATATTCCTAAAAGAGATGGTCACTGTAGTTAATAAAAGTTATTCAAACTGGACAGAAAAGTGCATTTGTTGGGACTATTTTCAGTAGTGAATTAATGTACTTTTGGTGGTCCAAATATGTGAAGCTTTTAATTACCACTTCATTTGATCTGACCATATGGTTTGAAAACAGATGGCTACCACTGCCTTAAATACTAGCACTCCAACTGGAGCTTTTCCCTCATATACAGTATTTCTGTTACATAAAAGGTGATGATCCCAGTAACTTGAAAAACTTTGGCTCAATTTCAAAATTGTCCTGCTTACAAAAAATGTTGAAGTCTCTCATAAACCCTCAGCTATGACTGGTTCTAGAGACAAAAAACATGCAGTGTTACAGCCTCAGCAGTCAGGATTTAGACCATTCCACAGTGCAACAGCTGCATTATGTGTACTAGCCTAAATGGTAATATTATTGCCCTGGACAATCATCACTTCTGTTGCACTTTTAACAGACCAAACTAAAGCTTTTGATTCTATAAATCATAATATTTTACAAGAACAACAAGTATGCTTGTTAAGACTAGATGAAAAGTCAATTAAATCATTTTATGACTAATTCTATGATAGAACTCAGGCAGTAGTTTCTAATAGTTCCAAATAAAGTACTCTCAGACTTAGTGAAGGCGTCCCACCAGGGTCAATTCTTGGTCCTCTTTTATGCTCCATATACATGAACAATATTATCTCTGCCACTCCCATTTGTTATGTATATTTTTACTGGTGTATATGCCAGACTCTTCTCTTAATCTGTCTTGTTTTAAAGGTTACAGAGTGTCCAACTTACTCTACAGGATTTTCAAATTGAGACTTGGGAATCTAATCTGACACTAGACTCGCTTTTATAACCTATGTGGAAGACCTAACAGGAAATAGGTCAAAACTAATTTTTTCTTTTGATTCTGGTGATGTGTGTACAAGTATGGTGCCATTGTGCATGAGCATGCCTCTCCCTCCAACTTCAAGCCTCTTAATTCTGTTTATCAAAGTGCACTGTACTTTATCACAGGACAAATTCCTCCCTTGCCATTGCATTTTATATGAAAAGTTGACAGAAAGGAGTTACAGTGTATGTCATTCATCTACAAGGTTGTACAGCAAAAGCTACCTGATTCCAGCTGGTCACCACTCTCATACACAGTAACTGGTATTTAAAGGATATTTTACCATCAGTATATACATGTTCCCCTGCTCAAACTGAGCTTGGGAGAACTTATGTCAGGTACTAACTATCCTTCCTCCCAAAGGAATGTACTGCTGAAATCTGCGTCCTAACCTGTGTTTATTCTTGACCACAGGTCTCACTTGAAAAAAAGATTACAATCTCATTAAGACTAAATAAAAAATAAAATGCACACAAATCAGGAGCAGGACATTCAGATGTATGTGTTAATGAAGGAACATGTTAGTCAGTGCAGTGTGTGTCACCCTGATGTGATTTTAATAGTTTTTGAACAACAGTGGCTGTATTTCACAGGGGAAGAAGATCTACCAGGCTTTGATACAGTACCTGTCAATAGGAGACGTTCAGTGTTGGTTCGAGTCTGCACATGGCAGTTACTGACAGTAAGAAAAATGTAGAAGTGAACCACACTCATCCTGTCTGGATGAGAACTAGAAACAAGCACTCTTTCTAGTACCTCTTCATTTGAATATTCTGTGCCTTTTAAACAACATTTGTGTAACTGACTGCCCAAAAGTCTAGAAAAAAAAACCCCAGAGCTAGACTGAGAACAGATAGAGAGCGAATGAGAGCAAAACTCCACAGGCACTTATCTCCTTCTATGGAAGCCAGCGTAATTACAGCTGTGGTTTATCTGTGATGTGTATAAAACTCAGGTCACAGTGAACAATAACAACCAGAGATTAACCTGTGACCGCACTGTAATATGAATTGGTAAAACACAGATGTACAACAAGAGCAGGTTAGTATAGGACAGAGATGTATCACTGAGCCTGGAGCTGTTGTGAGGGGACATCAATACCTACAAAATGAAATGAAAATGCATAGCTGTGCAGTTGTCTTTTCTACTGCTTGAAATGTTCCCACATGCAAGCAAGCACTTGTATTCTCAAGTTTAGAGCATTTTCATGTTTGTGTTACAATAACAATTTAAATAACCATTGTAGTATCTGAGTGTTCAAATGAAAAATATTATTTTTGACCACCATTACTATGGAGCTGTTATTTATGACGAGGTCCCCGTTTCGTTTGGCTCCACACGCATGCAAGTGGTTTCACACTGTTCCACTGGTTTACAAATGGCTCACTAATAAGGCAGAGAAGGAGAAGGAGAAGGAGAAGGAGAAGAGATGGAAATGCAAATGATGGAGGTTAAAGGGTATGCAAACAAATAGCTTTGCAAATGTTTTCTGAGGAAGGACATACATTGAACACACTTGTTAGACCTTAACACACAATGTATTTTAATGAGGGATAGAAAAAGGCTTAATCTTAATAGTTTGTTGTTTTATTTGTGCAACTGCCTTTACAAATTGTTATGAGTGGGAACTGTGTGAACCTTGTTTTTATGTGTTATGCCTCAAAGGGCCATTTACTGTGTATCGTCAAGTAACACTGAATATGAGCAGAACTGTTGTTTACAACTCCAAAGCCATTTCCTCCCCCATCACTGTTCCTTTACTTCATGTCTCCTTTGTTATTTTCCTACATACACCTTTGTATTCACCTGCTAATCTTCCTTGCTACCCTTGGCAACATTACAGCTCCAGCTATATTCACCCACATCCAATTTAATACAGTACATGTTCACAGGTTGTTGATACAAAGCTACCCTGTATCAGGGTTAGACACTTGAAATGAGACACTCTGTTAACTCATCATATATCTGTAAACAGGGCTGATTGAGGACTTTTTTTTTTTTTACTTTTTAATGCATATTTGCACTTCAACACAAACTAGTCAAACTTTGGATATCACGGTTCATGATGAAAGCCCTGCTGTCATGTGGTGGAGTAAGCTGAACAGTACGCTGCTAAAACACAGCTGTGTGTTCCTGAGGTCAATTCCAGTGTCAACATAAGCACAGAAGACGCAGTCCCACCACCAACAGTTCAGAATCAGGGCCACAGAAACATCCCTTCACATTATGTGAGCAGGGTGGCACCATTTGCCGTTGATAAAAGCGGCAAACCTTTATAGCAGTGGTAGAAAAAGTACATAGACTATTTACTTAAGTAAAAGTAGCAATACCACAGTGTAAGAGTACTCTTTTTACAAGTAAAAGCTCTGCATTCAAACTGTTACATAAGTAGAAGTACAAAGGTATTACCATAAAATATACTTTAAGTACTAAAAGTATTCATTATGCAGAATGGCACAGTTCACATTAAGGTACATCGTATATTGGACTATTATTACTGGTATCGCACATCACCAGCTGATAGGCACCCTTACTTTAGTGTTCCTGACACCAAAGCAGCAAAGGCTGACATATTCCGATTCTTAATCTATAGTAGAATTAAATCTGCCAAAACAGTGGATCATACACATTCCATTTGTAACACAAATTTTGTTATCAAACTAACCTAAGAAAAAAAAAACTGCTCTACTGGGTAACTCATGCTGTTACTGTACTGGGATACACATTTATGGCCATTTTCTGCAGGTATACATTACAGCTGACAACTGTCACCAGCAGGCAGCAGCATGTTATACTGCTGTTATAGTATTTCACTTGTGTACGTTGTTGAATAAGTCATCAGTTTCATGCCACTACAGTACAAAAATCCTCTTCCAAAAATGTGAAAGTTGCTTGAGTACAGTCATTCATCACATTAACAGTACAAGCACTTTACCGTTTACCGCTGTCAGTTATTAAGTTGGCATTGTTACCAACCAATACTGCACTGCTATGTTCACATCTTACAACCGACATAACTTTACTGGTATTAGTGAAATCTATGGAAACCAGTGTGGACTATATCACACGCCTGAGGTGAAACACCGTGTATCCTGAGCTACACGTGGTTTGTGCTAAAACCAACACTGGTTCGGTCTGTTACTATGTAGGCAGTGCACTCACCAGACCACGCCAAACGCTCCATAGCCGATGGGCCTGTCAGGCTCGATGTCCAACTGCTGTTGTATGTGGTGTGTGTGTTGCTGCTGATGGTGGTGGTGGTGGTGGTTATGAGCATCACTGCCGCAGCGGCACCCGTGGACGTGTGCTGCTGGACAGTGTGCACGGCGGCGGCGGAGCCCGGGTGCTGCAAATGATGCTGGCCCGCGTGGTGGTGGTGGTGCATGTGGGGAGGCGGAATGTGCTGGAGCTGGTGGTGGTGATGCGGGTGATGGGCAGCCACTGCTGAGGAGCCACCGTTGTAAGCAGCCATCATTTTTGTAACATTTGTAGCCGCTGTGCCGCAAAGAGCCATTCACCGACGCTGAAATGCCTCCCGTCAGAACCTGCTGCTGAAAGGGATGCTAATGGCTACGACTCGTGAAACTTAAGAAACAACATATAGTAAACTAATCTGAGGTTGAAATGATCCAGCAGCAGCTACTTCAAATCCATGGAGAGAGAAACTACTGTGGCGTGCCTTTTTATCATAATGCCAACAAGGATCTGACCCACTTCCTCTAAATTAATTTTCTTGCTTGCACACCATTAAGCTGCTGTGGCCCGGGGCTAATAACGGAGAGCATACCATGAGCATGTAGCTACAGTGATGATCTGCCGAGTCTAAAAACCTGTGCAGTGCAACCACTAACGATGAGAACTCAAAAAAAGTGACTAGAAAAGAACCCGCACCCCCCTCTGCAAATAAAAAGTAGGTGTCCCTAGATGTCCCTCATGATAAAGGTGGAGCCCCCCTCCTTCCTGATGAAAGTCGGCTTCCCCGTCTTGAAACAACAGTGTGATCTAAAGCCTGTCACATGGGAGGCTGCAGGGCATTCGTCTTTTAAAAGTGTCCAAGTTTGCCGCTCTTCCCACCACCGGGGCTCCGCACGGTTTGGAAATCTCATCTATTCTTCCAAACGGAATCCTCATTCAGACTGCTCCCCCGTAAACAAGGCTAATCTCCAGCCGCAATTAACGCTCCTGATCCGGTGCAAAGGAGGTGTATCCCAGCCCAGGCCACAGTACAGCAGGCAGGCAGACAGGCCCAGGCCTCGGCCGTCCACTTCACTCACATATTATTACAGAGATCCACCGAGCCGTGCGCCTCGGAACAATCCCCCATCACTGTGACAGCGAGACGAAGCTTCAAAGCGGGACCCAAAACATGAGCGAAGAAATCCTCACAGACTGCGACCAAACAACTTATTTTCCCCATCGACAGCAGCGAGTGTGTTTGCTGTGTCTCACTGCTTCCTCCGGCGGCTCACATCAACTGACCCAGCGAGAATAAACAACAATGCGGGAGCAAAGTTAAGCCCTCTTAATGCGGAATCAGTTCTGCTGCTAGGAAGAAGACACTAGCAATGAACCTGACAGCTCAGAGCTAGCTAATAGGGGTCTGTGTGTCCACATCAAAACAGCCGTCCTTCTCCGTGTCGGTGAGCCCTGCTGTCAGTGGAGAAACAGAAAGCCATCCGGTTGAACCTCTACACATCGGGCCCACGATGTTCCGCTGCCACTGACATAACCAAACTACTGGTCATAAGACAGCTGTGATGAGCCGTGGATCCAACATGGTGAACAAAACCTGAGCTACTCGGCGGTGAGATTATGCAGAACGGACAACCAATCACCTGCCGCACCGCAATGACGTCACGGCAAATGTGATTGTCACCACGCGCAGCCAGTGGCGCGTAAGGGCTGGGAGTGATCGCGGAGCCACTGCTGCTCATGAGCAGCCAATGATATCCAGCGATAAACACTCAAATTACCTGTTCGTTTCAGTCACAACAGATAACAGGTTTACATCTAGTACAGTGTCATAACAGTGAAATGTTTCGGGAGCCCAGCATGAGGAGAGGCCTCAAAAAACCTGGGAAACTGGTTTTTAATTGCAACGTTGACATTTGACAGAGTTTTTTGTGTATTATGTACAAAAATCAGTTTTCAAATCATTTTTTTCCTTAAAGGGAAAAAGACAGAAAGGCAAAAGAAAACCAATCATTTTATTATTTGTTATTCAGTTTTTATTATTATTATTATTTGGATTGTGCCTCTTAGTTTCTAAAGTGTTGTTATGCCTACTCTGTGATACAACAGACTGGCTGCACGTAGCGGAAGCTAATTTATCCTACCTTTATTCTGCAAACAAAATTCCAGAGAATACTTACTCTGCTGTTAGTAACACAGCTATCTTTTCTCATCTTCCCAAAGTAACATTCCACCTTTGTCCAATAACTGTATATACAAGTGTGGTGTTTTTATTATGTTTTTCATAGAAAAAAAATAGAGAAAAGACTACATAGAGTTACTGAAATGTATTGTAAACACTTCCTTATTGTTGGCCCTGTTTACTTGTGTTGATTTGGGTGTGGTAATGCATCCATCCATTCATTATCTATACCGCTTATTCCCGAACAAGGTCATAGGGGACTGGAGCTTATCCTTGTTATGATTCAGCTTTATTTCCTGTTCAGAAAGCTTTTATTTTGGTTACTTCCTGCCCCACATCATCTCACCTGCCCCAGCTTTACCCCAGTACAAAATCACCATTCATTGTTTTCACCTGCTGCCCATTATCTCCTGCCCATATACTGCCTCCATTCCCTCAGTCTCTTGCTGGTCTGTTAATATTATATTGGTTATGTTTTTGCTCCTGATGACACCAGTACACTGTGTGAATCTTCCTCAGCTCTGTATCTGCCACTCACCTGTGTTCCCCGTTCCTGAATCTGTCACCTTATCTGTGAGTCTCTGAGCCTCTAGCTATGTTGGCCGCTTCTTCTGTTCAACCTATCCTGCTGTATATTCCTGAGCTGCCAGTGACGCTGTTGACTCTCCAGTCTCCATCCACTTACTTGTGAGCTTCCTGAATCCCCATCAACACTGGCATCCTCTCCTGTTCGAATTACGTGCTGTGTATACCTGAGCGGCCAGTGACGCTGTTGATTCTTCAGCCTCCATCTACTCCCCCGTGAGTTCCTGAATCCCCATCGAATAATTGATTACATTTTGGTAATGATCTTTATCACAATTTGGATAGAGGAATATTTTAAATGATTAGTCACAATTGTGGGTGCTGGAAAGACTGCTGGCTATATATGAACCCTCTTGTGCTCAAAGTGCAGGGCTGTGCTGCTGAGCACTTTGAGCACATACACAGCTGAGGAAAGAGAAGCAGGGTGAGAGCCTGATGGGAGAGATTTTTAGCCGGGCCCCAAGCTGCTAATGGTTTCATCTGTAGGACTGGTATTATGCCATTTTATTGAGTTTTGACATTTTTTTTCAGGTGACAAAGTAACCACTTAGATTGAGAATATATGGTCAGTCTATCCAAGAAATACCAATTTAGGATTTGTTCCAATGTTTTCAGAGATGTGCTTGTTATCTGACCAAGCTGGCTCATTAGATTAGAGATTAGATACAGATTTAGTTTTTCATTTCCGGTATGAAGTGGGCTTATTTGGAAAAGCAGCCAGCAACCATGAGGATGACCATGCTAATGTCAGATGGTTGGAAGCATGTGACAAAGTCAGGGAGAGATGAGAGAGCAGTGTGGGAGGTAGTACAAACCACTGGAGAAACGGCTCCTGAGGTTGACCACGAAAAACACTGATGGATGAGGGACAGGGTGGTCTATAGAAAGGCATGTATGCAGTCTCTGAGAGTTGCCATATTTAGGTGGCTATCCTGAAATACTGATTGGCAAGTACCCACCATAGAACTGCATGAATACAAGGAATGAGGCTGTGTAGTCAGGGTTTTGGATAGGCAGTCAGTTAGATGAAACAAAAGAAACTGTGTTCCTTGTAAGGACTGATATTGGGCCTTACAGGCAAACACTCCATTTATCTCCAGTTACCTAAAATGTTTGTGGGTCTAAGTGAACATTATAAAATTGAAATGAATGGGAAAATGCTGTATTACAGGGCCTAATTTTGAATTTGCAGATATTCAAACAAAAATTAACATAAAACAAAGGCAAGCTAAGTAAACTCAAAATACACTTCAACTATCAATATTATGTATTGAATCAAAGAAGTCACATAAAACTAAATAGACCTATGTGGAAAAAATATGTCCCAGTAATGACTAAATCCATTAATTTATCAAACTTAATCATTTGTTTTGGATGTATTAAATACACCTGGGTCTGATTACCACCAGCCCTATTCAAGTTATACATCACTTAAATAGAAAATTTTGAGCAATAGGATGTTGGCTAAAAGGTCTCAACAAGCAGTACACTAAGCAACAACCAAAGGAAGCAGAGGATGAAGGTGATTAAACTATATACTGAATAAATTAGAATGTTACAAAGCCATTTCTAAGGCTCTGGGACTCCAAAAAAAACAGAGTGAAAATGATCTCTAAATGGAGACCACTTTGCCCTATACTAAACCTTTGCAGGACTGGCCAACCTTCGAAATTTCCTTCAGTAGAACAGTGATGTATCATCAGTGGGTCACACAAGAGCCATGAAAAACATAAAGAGAAATGCAGGCCTTTATGATGGTCAGTGTTCCTGACTCTACTATTCGAAAGACAATTGCCAAAAATAGCATCCATGGGAGAGTTGAAAGTGGAACTGGTTGGAAGACGAGGCTCCTGTTGCATTTGGCAGAAATCAAACACGGCATTCCATAACGAAAACAAACGCCTACAGTCAATAGTGGTGATGGTAGTCTGAAGGTGTAGGAATGCTTTGCTGCTTCAGGGCCCAGGAGACTTGCCATAATTAAGGCAAACATGCATTTGCTCTCTCCCAGGAAATTTAGAGGGAGGATACCCAGTCATCAGTCTGTGAATTGAAGTTCACATACAACTGTGTTATGCTGCATGACTGATCCAAACCACAAGAGCAAGTCTGCCTTTGAATGGCTCAAAAGAAACAATATTAAGGTTTAGCATTGGTCTGGTCAAAGTCCTGATTTAAACTCCATAGAGATGCTGTGATAGGACTTTAAAATGTTGGTTCATCTTTGAACCTTCAAATGAGACTGAAGTCAAACAGTTCTGTAAAGAGTGGACCAAAATTCCACCACAGTGATGTGAAAGATGGCTCTCTAATTATCTGAAGCATGTGGTTGCAACTGTTGCTGCTAAAGGTGGCACAACCAAATATTAGCCTAAGGTTAGGGTGGGCATTTATGTACTTTTTATATCGGTGATATTGATGTTGAAAATCCCTTTGCTTCAATAAATGAAAATTTCAGTTAACTATTAGTTTACTCAGGTTGCCTTTTTATGTAAAATTGTGTAAAAATCTAAAACCATTTAGTGTGAAATGCTAACAAAAATCAAAACATTCAGGAGAGGAACAAATATTTTTTTATGATACTGTATGAAAGTGGTTGGTTTTGTTTGTTCACACATCCAGTCACTTTGAAGAAAAATAACCAAATTTGGGCCATTTCAGTATGAAATGCATACATAGCCTTACAAAAACCACTGATGTGGGTGAGTTACACCAGCTTTGTTTCAAGTGGATTCACTATTGGCATAGTCTCACCAACTCACGAGAAAGGTGGTATAGACTGCGTAAATGATCCAGCAGCTGTTGCATTATCTCTGCTGTTTCAATCCAAATCTTTTTTTTTATTTATTGTACACGTGTCTTGTGTTGCTCCTTACAAATCCAAATGTTTTGATCATGGTGTTCCCTGGCTGTGCAGCTGTCTGCGGTAGCTCCTCTTATCTGAACTTAGGACATCAGCCATTCTCTGCAACAAACACTCTTCATTAAAACTGCTCTAATGAAGGTTTGACCATCTTCAGGCTCACCTCACAGAGTATCATGTTGGTGGAGATTGACAGGAAACTGACATCAGCATATTGTAGTAACTGATGGCAAAAATGAGCAGTCTTCTGTCATTTTATTAGACTTTTTTTAGTGTGGCAACATTTGCCCCAACATGTCTACTTTGATCAGTTTGGACTTTAGTTTGTGTAGACTTCAGGAGGTGAAACTACAGCTGTTTCACCACAGAGTGAAGTCTGCCTCCAATCTCACTCCTTTGCCTTTTCATACATCCTGACAGAAAACAAACTATTCCAAAAGCAGCTGACTGTCATATGCTGTATATTGCATTTTTAAGTACTTAAACATTAAGTACTTGGTTTAGAATAGTTTGTTTTTGCTTTTTTTTTGGCCTGTGTAGCAAGCAAGCAGTGAAGGAAAGCATTTTGAGATATTTTACTTAAGTAAAAATAACAATAGCACACTGACAATATCTTGTGTGTAAATGTCCTGAATTTTAAACCTTAGTTAAATAAAAGTGCCAATTTTATGTGCAAAATGTAATTAATGTCTAAAGTACTCGTATTGCAGAAAAATGTGCTATTATGTAGTAGTAGTGGTGGTGGTAGTGGTGAATTGATCAAGTGTTGGCCTTTTTATTTTTTGTAGGGAGCACTCAGTAATTCTGTTGATAGCTGCGTATATTCCTCCCACCACTAACACCAGCAATAGGAGTGAGGCACTAATTGAACTCTACCAGGCCGTCAGTGAATAACAGACGGCGCACCCAGATGGATTCCTTATCACAGCTGGGTACTTCAATCACGCAGATGTAAAGGTTTTACTGCCCAATCTGCCCCAACATGTGGACTTTCTGACGAGAGGAGACAACACATTGGATATTGTGTACACCGCATGTAAGGGAGCATACAAAGCCTCCCCCACCTGGGTCTCTCTGATCACATCACCATCATGCTGAGACCTGCATACAGACCCCGCGTGAAAGCATCACACAAACACAAAAGGAGGTACGTGTGTGGCCAGAGGGGGCTTCTTAGGCTCTGAAGGACTGTTTTGACATTACAGACTGGGACATTTCAAACAAGCAGCCACTCATCACACAGACA